TGAACTTGAATTTTGAACTCCCCTAAACTTGAGATACCTTCGTAAACATCTCAACACCAAACTCTGACTTTGTCACAGTAGGGAAGGAGAGGACGACAGTAATTTCCAGAATAAGAACATAAGAACGGCCGTACTGGGTCAGACCAAAGGACCATCTAGCCCAGTATCCTGTCTACTGACAGTGGCCAATGCCAGGTGCCCCAGAGGGAGTGAACCTAACAGGTAACGATCAAGTGATCTCTCTCCTGCCATCCATCTCCACCCTCTGACAAACAGAGGCTAGGGACACCATTCCTTACCCATCGTGGCTAATAGCCATTAATGGACTTAACCGCCATGAATTTATCCAATTCTCTTTTAAACGCTGTTATAGTCCTAGCCTTCACAACCTCCTCAGGTAAGGAGTTCCACAAGTTGACTGTGCATTGTGTGAAGAAGAACTTCCTTTTATTTGTTTTAAACCTGCTGCCTATTCGTTTCATTTGGTGACCCCTAGTTCTTGTATTATGGGAATAAGTAAATAACTTTTCCTTATCCATTTTCTCCACATCACTCATAATTTTATATACCTCTATCATATCCCCCCTTAGTCTCCTCTTTTCCAAGCTGAAAAGTCCTAGCCTCTTTAATCTCTCCTCATATGGGACCCTCTCCAAACCCCTAATCATTTTAGTTGCCCTTCTCTGAAACTTTTCTAGTGCCAGTATATCTTTTTTGAGATGAGGAGACCACATCTGTACGCAGTATTCGAGATGTGGGCGTACCATCGATTTATATAAGGGCAATAATATATTCTCAGTCTTATTCTCTATCCCCTTTTTAATGATTCCTAACATCCTGTTTGCTTTTTTGACCGCCTCTGCACACTGCGTGGACATCTTCAGAGAACTATCCACGATGACTCCAAGATCTTTTTCCTGATATGTTGTAGCTAAATTAGCCCCCATCATATTGTATGTATAGTTGGGGTTATTTTTTCCAATGTGCATTACTTTACATTTATCCACATTAAATTTCATTTGCCATTTTCTTGCCCAATCACTTAGTTTTGTGAGATCTTTTTGAAGATCTTCACAGTCTGCTTTGGTCTTAACTATCTTGAGCAGTTTAGTATCATCTGCAAACTTTGCCACCTCACTTTTTACCCCTTTCTCCAGATCATTTATGAATAAGTTGAATAGGATTGGTCCTAGAACTGACCCTTGGGGAACACCACTAGTTACCCCTCTCCATTCTGAGAATTTACCATTAATTCCTACCCTTTGTTCCCTGTCTTTTAACCAGTTCTCAATCCATTAAAGGACCTTCCCTTTTATCCCATGACAACTTAATTTACGTAAGAGCCTTTGCTGAGGGACCTTGTCAAAGGCTTTCTGGAAATCTAAGTACACTATGTCCACTGGATCCCCCTTGTCCACATGTTTGTTGACCCCCTTCAAAGAACTCTAATAGATTAGTAAAACACGATTTCCCTTTAGAGAAACCATGTTGACTTTTGCCCAACAATTTATGTTCTTCTATGTGTCTGACAATTTTATTCTTTACTATTGTTTCAACTAATTTGCCCGGTACCGATGTTAGACTTACCGGTCTGTAATTGCCGGGGTCACCTCTAGAGCCCTTTTTAAATATTGGCGTTACCTTAGCTATCTTCCAGTCGTTGGGTACAGAAGCCAATTTAAAGGACAGGTTACAAACCCTAGTTAATAGTTCCGCAATTTAGAAAGCTTTCCACTGAGAATACATGTCATCAATAACTGGATGTTCCAGTTCAAGGTCTGTTAATTCAACCATCCTAGGCTGTGTCTACACTGCCACTTTCAGTGCTAAAACTTCAGGGGTGTGGAAAAACGCCCCCCCACCCCCTCCAAGCAACAAAAGTTTTAGCACTGAAAAGCTACTACCGCTCGTTCGGGGTGGGTTTTTTTTTGTTTTTGTTTTTTTTAAATCACCGGGAGAGCTCTCCCCCAGCCAACACTGCCCACGCCACAGCACTGGCGTGGCTGTGCTGCCGCAGCCGTGCTCTAAAGTGGGTAGTGTAGACGTACCCTTAGTTGATCTCAACTATCAATAGAGACAGCATGGAGAGAAGAGGACTACTCTACAAAGGAATACACTACAAAGACCCTAAACCACTGATCTCTTTATAGGGCACACCACCATCCAGAAACAAAATGAAAGCTTTTCTAGTGCATGAAGTACACATAATGAAAAGGCACCAGCAAATAAGCAGTTGCATTCTGCACTAACTGAAGTGTCCAAGTGGGTTGCCTGTCTGAAAGTGCTAAGCCTCATCAAAGAAGCCAAAAGACTAAGTGGCCATGGGAACTGAGGGGGATTTTGTCCTCGCCTTTGAAGTCCTACATAATTCTACTCCTCCCTAGTTACTAACTTGTCTCTTCTCACCTCACCCCAGCCACCCCTACCAATAATACCAGCCACAATCCTCTCTCACCCAGTCTCCCCATTTGTCTCAACCATTTTCACACCTTCCCATTACCCCGGGGGCACCCTATTTCAGCTGATCTCCAAAGGCCACCAGCCTCTCCTCCACACCCACTTTTGTTGTGTCGCCTACAAGAGAGTAGCTGACATTGGCTAGACCAGTGGTCTCCAACCTTTTTACGCACAAGATCACTTTTTAAATTTAAGTGCAACCCAGGATCTACTCCACCCCTTCCCCAAGGCCCCGCTCACTCCATCCCCCCCTCCCTCCATCGCTCACTCTCCCCCACCCTCACTCACTTTCATCAGGCTGGGGCGCGGGCTCTGGGCTAGGGCCGAGGGATTCTGAGTGTGGGAGGGGGCTCCGGGCTGAGCCTGGGGCTGGCGTGCAAGCTCTAGGAGGCAGTTTGGATGCAGTAGGGGACTCCAAGATGGGGCAGGGGGTTGGGGTACAGGAGAGGGCTTGGCTTGCAGGCTCTGGGAGGAGGCTCAAGGCTGGGGCAGGGAGTGCAGGCGGGGGTATGGGGTGCTGACTCCGGGAGGGGGCTCAGAGCTGGGCCAGGGGTTGGGGTGCAGGAGGGGAGCGGGCTCCCTCCAGGCAGTGGCACAGCGGGGCTAAGGCAGACTCCCTGCCTGCTCTGGCCCCGTGCCACTCCCGGAAGCTGATCGCACGTCTCTGTGTCTGTCTGGTGGGCGGTCTCCACGCACTCCCCCCTCCCTGCAGGCAGTCCTCGTAGCTCCTATTGGCCACAGTTCCCCGTTCATGGCCAATGGGAGCTGTGGGGGCGGTGCCTACAGGCAGGAGTAGTGTGCTCCCTCTCCTCCCCCCCATGCAGGGAAGTTCCGGCCACTTCCAGAAGCGGTGCGGGGCCAGGGAGCCTGCCTTAGCCCTGCTGCACTTCCGGATTTTTAGTGGCCGGAGACTGTGACCTACCGGCAGAGGCTCCACGATCAACCAGTCGATCGCGACCTACCAGCCTACCGACCTAGACTGAAGGGCAGTGAGGGATTTATAAAAATAGGTATATATTTTGACTGTATAGTTTATCCCTCTCAGTTACCCTTCACTTGCTGATTGTCCTCTCAGACTGCCAGGTATGCATACACAGCACAAACTGCAAGGAGGGCACTGCTGGAATATAAGTAACCTACATCACTAGGAGGCATCTCTTCCAGGACATGATTTGCAGGGTACTGGAGGAAACTCATCCTGTCATCTCTCATACTACACTGAAACTAAGTGGTTTTAACCTCCAGGCTTATCAGTTCAACATCTTTTATGTTCATTAATGTAACTTGCCCTTCACCCCTTTCCAAACCCCTTCTTTCTTTCTCTCTTTCTTTCTTTCTTTGATAACTCAAATTCTGTGCCTGACTAGCATAACTGTCTGAAAAAACAGACAGCCTGCAGAAGTCTTATTTCTTCTGGATGGACAACTCTAAAAATACAACATCTTTTGTGTTTGTTTGGATTAATCTAAAGAATATTCCAATGAAGATTCTTGCATTACGGAAGCGCAGACCCATGAGACAAGTGCACACCCATACATATCTTTTCTAAACCAGAAGTGAGCACCCAGTAAAACTGAAGAAGGTAAAAGCTAACAAGTGCATACTGACTGCTACACACAAACAGGACAACACTGTCCCATTAGCAGCACCAGCTCTCAGCAAAGCAGAAATCAATTAGACCTTTCAAAAGGCTTCTCAGCACCACTCTGAAGGATCAGCACCCTACGCGACTCTCCAAGGGTTCTAAGCATCGCACAGTTTTGTTCCATTTTATTGCTGGGGAAAATGTCAGTCAATATCCATAGTGGATCTCTCAATTTCTCTTTGGCCTGGTCTACACTACGGGATTAATTCGGATTTAGCAGCGTTAATCCAAATTAACCCTTCACCCGTCCACACTACAGAGCCAGTTAATTCGAATTAAAGGGCCCTTTAAATCGATTTCTGTACTCCACCTCGACTAACGGAGTAGAGCCTAAATCGATTTTGTTAATTCGAATTAAGGTTAGTGTGGCCGCACACCACCGAATTACTGTGTTTAAGTTAATGGGGTAGTGTGGCCGCACACCACCGAATTAATGTGGTTAAAAACCGAATTAAGGTGCTTAGTGTGGCCGCGCACAATCGAATTTATACAACCTGTTTCCCAAATTCGAATTATCTAAATTCGGATTAATCCTGTAGTGTAGACATACCCTTGTAAGCAGTAGATTGAACTGGCAATGCTCTAACTGGAGGGTCTCTCTCTCTCTCAGGAAAGGAGCTACATACTGTAGGTCAGCTGAAGGAGTAATTCTGAAGAAATACATGTTTTATAAAGGAAATGCCCTTAGTTTTAAATTCCTCTACAGTGACACATAAAGAGTACCTAGTGGAACAAAACCAGTGAATTACTGATTGACTTGCAGGGTCACTGCATCCAAACAATAAATATTTTCCTCTTTAAATGACTAAAATGTCAAAACATTGTGGATATAGATAAACAATGTTAAAAATGCGGACAAGCAAGACAATCTGCATTGATATGTAAATATTTCTCTTACCTGTCCTGAGACTGTTCCTCATACATCCGCTCCTTGCCTTCTTTAAAGAGTCTTATAGCCCGTTTTGATTTTTTCATGAGACTGTCAATGTAGATTTTAAAATATTCATTCTCACTGAGTTGTGCAAGTTTCTGGTTGTCGTCACAGTTGCCCAGTATAAGTCGCAAATGTTGATAAGTGTCTGGTAAAATGTCAAGTATGTAAGGTGGGCTGTTTTTCAATTGAAGTTTGGGATTTTGGCACAGTCTGACCTAGAAGCAAAAACAACAGTGTTTAAAAAGGCACTTTCTGATCACTGCACATCTGAAAGAAATATGTAGGGGCAAAAAGTGATTTGACATCTTGAAATAAGCAGAGGCAAGTATACTTCTCAGGCCTCCAAGCAGGGAGGTCTAAAAATTCTGCTTTGACTTATATCCCATGCAATGCCACTGACGTCATTGTTATTGTCTAGTTTATGGAGAACTTAACCTTCTATTGGCATTCGTAAGAATCATCAAGTAGTCCTAGCCACTCCTCTCCACATTTTATGCATGTGTTCTTTTAATAGGAGCACCTTTGCCTGCCTGCTCTGCACCACATATACTACAGAGACCCTAAAAAATGCATTATTATAAACTCAACATTTGCAACTTCAGGGTTCTACTAAAAGATGGCATCTACATGCACCTTGAGTCATTACGTTTTTAAATGGGACCCATTATATATAAACACTTCAGTTAATTTCCTTTTAAAAACAAATGACAAACAGAATAAGCTTCAAATGAATAGTTAAATTTCTATTTTGTACATATTTATTTGAATCAAATCTACCATGCAAAGTGCTTCTTACACCAACCACGACAGCCTGCTCCTCTATGGGGAATGTATGCACTTATTTAAACTACTGCCTTCACAATTTAATTGACTTTTTTAAACTGTCTTGTGATCTCGTTAGATCTCATGACTAAGTAGGTTTAGGCCTGACCAGTCTTGGATTAAAAAAAAAAAATAATCCAAGTAAATCCAGGTGCAGTAAGAAATTGTGTTAACGACCCGGTGAGCACCATTCTTCACTCCAAGCTAGGACTAAACTAATGTCCCATATGTTCGCAGGGGACACTGTGCCACTAAAGATGCAAACTTCAAGATGACCCTTATTATCCACTTGGAAAGAGCAGAATATTAGTCCTGTGTTCTGACCATATACCAATTAAAGGCAGTTCTATTCTGGCTACCTAAATTCTCCTATAATTTCAATTGAAGATGGTATTTTACTGTTCTAAACTACTGTATAGACTTGACATACAGTTCCCTAGAGCTGCTGCGTTCCACCCTACAGATGGTTGTATTTCACTGATGAACTAAGTGGTCCCCGTATGTGTGATTCTATACAGAATTACTGTGGTACACATGCACACACTCTACATATGTATATGTAGTAAATCAATGAAAATACTTATAAAAAATAAATTGTAGTGTGATATACAGGTTTTATAGGCATGAGTTGAGGATTGCCTTTTTGGGGGGTAATGTGGCTAAATCACTAATATGTAACTGTGATGGGGTGGACTAGGCCCAAAGGCCCCCTGCTGGAGCCTCAGGGGCCTGCCACACCCATCCCAGGAAAGGAGCAGTGGAGAGGTCCTCCAAGCAGGCTACAGTGGCTGCAGGAGAAGCAGCCGATCAGAGAAGCTGCAGGGAGCAGCCAGTGAGTGCCCAGCAGGCTCATATAAAAGGAGCTGTAGGGCCGGAGTGAGTGCAGTCTGCTTGCAGGGGCTGGGGGAGCTAGAGGTGCTCCTGGCTGGCTGCGAGGGCTAAGGCGGATATCACTAGCAGGGACCAGGGAAGCAAGGAAATAGCTTCTGGCCAGCCACCAGGACTCACTGAAGACAGGCCCAGGGAAGAGACTGTCTGTAGAACTGCTAACCCCGGAAGGGCACTGATCTAGACTGACCCAGCTGGAGAGCCAGGGTCAGAGAACTAAAGGGCAGGCGACAAGCCCCCAGGGAGGAAATCATTGGGGTGCTGCTCCACCGCAGAGTAGGAACCTTCATATGCTTACCAACTAGAGTACTGAGATAGTCTGACCAACGGGGCCTGAGGACCAGAGCCCAGGGAGGCCTACTGGGATAGTGTAGGTGGCAGGGCCAGAGGACTGAGTCGCTGAAGACCCGCCAAGAGATGCGTGCTACCCTGCTGAACAGAACTGAAAGATTGCAGGCACTGAGAAAGAGGGTGCTCGAGAGAGGCAGGTGCTGACCCTGTTATAGTAACTAAACATGTTTTTTAACCTTCAAATATTGCCTGGGACAGATTTTCTATTCATACTAATGTCATGACTTCAAAGTCCAATATCTTGGACAATTCCAGGGGAAGAGGCATCCCCCTAGAAACTCTAACCTATTTCCTGTGGTACAAAGCCTGAATTCTAGCCCTCCAAAGTCTTGAGATACCATCCATACCTTAAAATTGTCACTAATTCCATGCTGCAACATAAACAGAGTGGAAAATTCCATATTTGGCAGGAGTGGAGACAGAAGGAAAGCACATTGCAGTTTTTCTGAATGGAAGTGTTATGTACATAGATTGTAATTAGGTCTAGGGTGGTTTTTGTACTGGTAAAACAGGGTCAAAATTTAATTCAGTTCTGCCTTTTAAAACTTATTACTAACCCAAGTAGGACACAACAACAGAACTCAAACTGGCAACCGTTGATGAGAAATTTTTATATTACAGAGGGGAAAGCATTTAAACATAATATTTGTATGGGTTTTCTCCCTTATTTTTCTTGGCCCTCATTCACTGTGTATTTTTCAATTGTAGTTTTCCTCTTTCCACCCTTTCACTTTATCTGAAGTAAAAACGATTTGTGTCATCAGTTACTTTTTATGGGAGGGATTTTAGAATCACAAATAGAGGGTGATGACGTCCTTGAAGCATCTAGCCCGAGAAAGAATGCTTATTCGGACAAAATATCAGCAAAAAACAAACCCAGAAAGTTACAATCATGCTAAATTGATCCACTTTTTAAAAATTAAACTGAAATTATCAACTCCTAACTCCTCCTAAGGAAACGGGATGATTAAAATAATTAGTTCTTATGAGGAAAGACACGGTGCACAAAGAGAAAAGTCATACTAGTATAAGTGAAAGAAAGGTGGCTTTATGTATACCAGAAAGGTGAACACACTGTTTCACAGGGTATGCTGCCTGTATATACACAAGTTGCTTATTTTGGTTGAGGATTTTCTATGGCTGGATGGCCAGACAGTTGAACAAAGGGGACACTGTGAAAAAACAAGACTCAGTTCCTCTTTCAGGTGCTTTAGAAAGTCTCTTTTAGTCCAATACAGTCATATATAGCTAACAACAGGATTCTGTGGTCGGTCTGGTTTACCATGCTTCACTTTCTGCAGACTGCATGGAGACCAATTACAGAACAGTACTAGACACCTCAAAATTAGCACTAGCCCTTCAGTTATATGAAAATATTTCGACAATAAAACTCAACTCCTCTTAAACTTATTAAAATGATAGAGTTATCACAAAACACGTGCTGCAGTTTAGTTCAAATGCTTAAAAGTCCAAGCACCCACTCACTAAGGTTGTGAAGGATTTTCTACACTTATTTTTATAGTGGACCAGATTTCAGTATGGAGGAAATGTGTCTGTAAAGAGATGGATGTGTAAACCATATGGCTCCTAGAGTCAGGATGTCCTGAGACTTACCACAAGGGTTCACATTAACAGTAAGCAACAAGAAATGACAACAGCCGACGAAAAAGGCTTCCTAAAGCAACTGAGCTCTCGTAGTACATACCTTTCTGAAAAAGAAAGTCACACCACGCTGAGCTTTATGACGCAAACCTCACATTAGCAATAGCACAGGGTATGAATCAGATCCCTGATTATTTTTTTTATTGTGACTTGGATTAAGCATGAAGGCATTTAGTAAGCATTTAGTCTAAAAAAAAGAAACATTCATTCAGCAAGTTGAAAAAGAAACTTTTCCTTGATTGAGGCAAGTTAACGCATATATAAGATCCTTGAGGTATCCTACGCATAACAGGATATTAACATATTATACCATGTTTATCAGGTGATACTGGGGCACCTACTTCCTCTAGTGCATGGCCACAGTATGCAATCCATATCATCAGAAACAGATTTTGTCATAATGACCCTTATATCTGTAATCTCCAGGCTTGACTACTGCAGTTCACAAGGAATGAAACTCTCACCCTGAAAAACCATCTCTAGTTAGCACAAAAATGCAACAACCCATCTACTCATCAACATGGCTCACTGTGAACACATTGCTACAATTCTCCATGTTCTCCATTAGATATAAAGGGCAGACTGTGATATCCTCTCTCACATTGGGATGTATCTTAACTCCAACAATGAAATAAACATGATTACATTATTAGTAAGATGCTACCTAAATTGCAGAATTAAATGGGGTCCTTATATTCAAAGGTTTCCATGGGACTGCTCAGAGCTACCCTAGACATCACATCCTTTTTTCCCCACCACTCTGACTTCCCTTCACAGCTTCTCTTCACTGGCTCAAACGGTCAACGGTGTGGGAGACCCTCATAAGGCAATCTTTCAGGGGAACTGGACCTAGACTATGGAATTTCTCTCTGCACGAGACAAGGAATACAAACTTCAAGGGCCACAGGCCCAAATGCAAAGCCTATTTCTTCTATGTAGCTTTCCCTCCCAATAGCTCTTCTCAAAAAAATCAATTCTACACATACAAAAAAAGGTGATACCTATTCAAGTTCTATCTTACTGGCAGGGAAGGGAGAGAGAGCATTCACTTTATTTCTCTTTAACTACATGGGAGGTGCTCAGTAAGTATGCTGATGAGGGTCATACACAGTAAGTACCTAGACAGATAACACTTTGAAGTAGTAGGATAAAAAATTTTAAGCAAATATGACTAAGTTAGACAGTATTTTAAAGTATCTGCAGATTAGAGGGAAGAGATTTCCATTGCATGTATTTAGCCATTTGATTTCATGTAGAAAACTGTGTGTTCTGTTTGTTCCATGATGATCTTTCTGAAAAATTGTTTTTAAAGGTCACAGGTTTAATGCTTTGATAAAACAGCTGTACACTGCCAAGCAAAGCACAGCAACACTTACACACCAGGATATGTTTAAATGCCACAATGCTGGTCAAGGCCCATGTGAGAAAAGTTACTAATGGCAACAGAATAAGTATCTGCTGACTATGACTCCTACTAAATTCTCTCTAATCA